TACGCTTACTTATTACAAACGCTCTTAATAAAACTTCTTTGACCACGTGGCAAATATAACTATTAATTATAAGGTTTATGATAATAATATTAAACAATATGAATATACAAATAAAATAAATTTCATTTTCAATTACTAAAATAATATTATTTTTTTTAGTTACTATTTCTGATTACAATATTAGATTCATTTTAGAATCATTAATTTCTTTTTTTTATATCATGTTTTTATCAATTTATTAACTTTTCGTATATTTGTTAAATATAAAATTATACTCTACATATCAATTATATTTGCTATATTAAATAAAAATAAATAAAATTTACGTTAAAACATGAAAATTTTCTCACCTTACAATGACTCAAAAACATTCCTTTGATGATTACATTTGGAAATACTGCTTTGACAGCTCTCCAATAATCACTGTCAAACTCACTATAAATTGCTGTAGGTGACAAGGTAGGTTGTAAAGTTAAAATCTTGCGAAGTATACTTTCACAAATTTTTTCATTTTTATCCGATAAAATAATCCATACTAAGGGTAAAATCTGAAATTCGGAAAATAGATATGCAAACTTTTCAATTAGGTAAGAAAAAGCATTGAAAAATTTATTTAAATTAAAAGACATTCTAAACCAAACAATAAATTTCAGAATATTTTTTTTCCAGTGTTTTTGACAAATATTTATGAATCCTTGAAAAATATTCGGAAGATTTCTTTGTCATTAATCGACCAAAAAAGTTCTCTTTGGTCGATTGATGACTAGTGTTCATTTTTTTTTAATGCATTGATTATTTTATTCTTACATGATCCATATGCTTTGTTGAGATTGATGTTAATTGAAGATTATCGACACCTTCGAATTTATGATCTGTTGACTGTATAAATAAAGTCGTGGTCTCCAGTTGCGATAAAAGATTCGCATCTACAAGAATCATAGCAGTATCCTGACCTTCCTCATCTTGTACGAATTCAATCTCCGTCTTTCCGGCATTGTGCAGATTGATATTTTTAAACAGAGGGTCATTTAATTGTAATTTAATGTCACCAATTGATGTGACTTCTGGTAACACCCTGTTCTCTAACCATGCCTGCATTTTCCTGTTAATGTCGTTAAAACTCAGTAGAGCGGCACCTTCTTCATGACTATAATACAATTATAAAAATAAAGTCAAATTGCATATATAGCGTAAAATATAAAGCATTTCTACCATAGCTATGAAAAAAATTACATTCTACTGTTTTAATGTTAGGAAAAGAGTGACGCATCACTAAAATAAAACTTACTTTAAAAAAGGTAAATATTATGGATAAAACCAATAACTTTCTGATTTTTGAAAATTTTCAATTTTTTTAGCGGGAAGTTAAAAGTTAATTATAATATTAAAAAATGAAAGGAATTAAAGCGAATAAAGATTTATTTTTACAGAAATATAGCGAATGTTATGAAAAACAACCTAACAAACGACCGTATAATATTTTCCTTTTTTTAGTAAACTGAAGTATTCGGTCGTTTGTTAGGGTGTTTTCCAAAATATTCGTTATATTTTTTTACTAATTAATCTTGTATTTGCTTTTATTCCTTCGTTTTTTTTAATATCATTAATTTTTTTTCTTTATTCAACGTACCAAGATGTATAATAGCTATTACATGAAAAGCCCAACTGTTCTATGCGTCTGATTATGTATCTTGGCTTTAAACACGAGATGCCGGCACAAAGTGGTCATTTCATGAAATACCTAGGCTGATAATGCAATTTTAATATTTTTCACTAAACGCCGACGCTTCTGGAAGTTCCTAGGTATTTCATGAAATGACCGATTTTGCAAAAAGACTACGACATATAGATAGATAAAAAAAGGCTTCTAATAGACAGCTTATAACTTACAGCAATGCTATTTCATCATATATTATTTGAAGAGTTCGGAATTGATGTTTAGTTGCGATATACAAATCTCGAGTAAACCGAGCTTTAATTTCTGCATCGGGATCTCGTTCATGAGTATGCTTTTCCTTTTTCGGTACATAACTGAAGTCATCAGTGGCAGATAAGGTACCTAAGGCATCGCAAGCATGTGATTCGGCATGCGAACAAATTAAACGTCTGAAACCAATAAATTGAGTAAATAATTAAAATAGTTTATTATCTTCAAGAACGAAAAAAAAAAATATTGTACATCATATATACATAGTCAAAAACATTTCTATCAAAAATTTTTTTGCTCTTTATTAACGTTTCACAGATTATCAAAAAGCAAAAAATTTTTTGCTATGTAACCGATTTAGCTTTGCTAATCAACTGTTGGTTAATAGGTTGAGTTTAGTTAAGCAGTTAAACTGTTAGCCATTTGGTTAAGTTAACTTAGTTAACCGGTTAAATAAGCCAAGCTAGTTGATTATTTACACAATTAACCTATGTAAGGTAGCGTAACCGGTCAAATTGTATAGCTCTATTTATTACATACCGAGCACCATCTTTTAGAGGTCTTCCTTGTCGAAATGTGAATCCATGGAAAACCCTGTCGGGTAAAGAATCTATATAAGATTTTCTTTTCCTTCCGTTGTTAGCCATAATAGTCACGATACATAAAAAAATCTATTAAAAAAAAAAAATTATTAAACAAAATTATATTTAAGAAGTTCTATAAAGTTTTTTTATTTTTTATTTTTTAAATAAATCTATATATACTCTGAAAATAAATTCGACATTTTTATAATTATTCCCGTACCGCTTTTAGAGAGCTGACTTTTCGTTGTATATCTTTTATTTAACTGAAAAACATTTTTAACTTCCCGCTAAGAAAATCGAAGATTTTCAACAATCGGGAAGTTATTGTTTTTACCCCGTTTTACAAAAATCGAGTTTTCATCAAATCTCGACGTTTTAAGGTCATAGAGGAAGCTTCCCTGCTTACCCCCGCGATGTTGTCAGTATATCTGTGTGTGTATGTGTGTGTGTGTGTGTGTGTGTTTGTGTGTGTGTGTAAACCTCTTGTAACTTTTGAACGGCTTGACCGATTTGATCGCGGTTGGCGCCATTCGAAAGGGCTTGCCCAAACTTAGATTTCCTGAAAATTTGAACCGATTCGGAC